ATGTACACGTGTGTGTGGCCAAAGTGTGAAAACATGACCTGCGAGGACACGTGACACACGCATGGGAGTGACTCCGCTGGGAGATGACGGGACTGGGGCACTTGAGAGGCTGTGTCGGTGAGGTGTACTTGAGCTTATTACAAGAATGGCTGAAATAAGTGTGGAGAAAAAGTTAACATTTATTTTTTTATTTTTTAAAGATTTTATTTATTTATTCATGAGAGACACACACACACAGAGAGAGGCAGAGACACAGGCAGAGGGAGAAGCAGGCTCCATGCAGGGAGCCCAATATGGGACTCGATCCCGGGACTCCAGGATCACGCCCTGGGCTGAAGGCGGCACTAAACTGCTGAGCCACCCAGGCTGCCCGATATTTATTAATTGAGTGTTTAATAAAATTCTTTTTTGTATTTAAAAGATGTTTAATTTAGGGATGAGCACTGGCTGTTTTACTTTATGTTGGCAAATCAAACTTCAATTAAAAATAAATGTTCAATTTTGGTTGAGTGAAGGGGAGCCCGGGTGGCTCAGCGGTTTAGCACCGCCTTCAGCCCGAGGTATGATCCTGGAGACCCGGGATCAAGTCCCAAGTCGGGCTCCCTGCATAGGGCCTGCTTCTCCCTCTGCCTGTGTCTCTGCCTCTCTGTATCTCTCATGAATAAATAAAATCTTAAAAAAATTTTCTTTTTGGTTGAGTGAAGAGTAAGGAGGACTCAAGCAGGGGGCATCTCCAGACAAAGGGTTTCCCAGGGACAGAAGTGGGTGAGAATAGGGATGAATAGGATGCGCGTGACCCAGAAAACCCAAACATGCCACCTGCACAAACCAATCAGTGTGCCTGAGACACGTTCGGTTCCCGTGAAGCAAGGATGGCATCTCGAGTACCAGACACAGAATTCACAACTAGGGGACTTCTGTCTCAAAATCAGAGCACTACAAGTAAGAAAGAACCCTGCAATATGCTGATCTTTCTTCTTTTCTCCCCTGGACACAGAGGCCACATGGTGTCACCACGGAGCTCAGTTTTCCTTCTTGTTTTGACATCTTCTACCCTCACCACCAGCACTGATCCTCAGAGTTTCCCGCACCTGGTGACAAGTGCAGGGAGAATTCGGTGGCCAAGTGTGACCCTAATGTGTCAAATCTGTTCATGATCCACTGCTTCACTGCTGAACACGGAGTCTGACTCTGAACAACTGCTTCTCCCCACACTGCTGGAAGTCGGCAAGAGCCCGATGCAAGCAGCTCCTAACCCAGCCTCTGGGGCTCTGCGGGACAGGGACAGACGTACGGCCTCACAAGGGAGGAAGCAGTAAGAGCAGGGGAGGAGCAGAAGACAGAGACGGAGGGACAGGGTTCAGCCTGGGGCAGCACAGCACTCGCTGCTGTTCCGTCTTCTGAGCAAGAGGGAGAATTCAAACCGATTATAAGAATTGCTTAGTTTCAGGGCACCTGGGTGGCTCAGTGGTTGGCTGAGGGCATGATCCCGGGGTCCTGGGATTGAGTCCTGCATTGAGCTCCTCGCAGGGATCCTGCTTCTCCCTCTATGTCTCTGCCTCTCTCTCTGTGTCTCTCATGAATAAATAAAATATTATAAAAAAAAAAGTGCTGAGTTTCCACCCTTGAGACAGGCAGACACTATGAAACTGTGAGACATGCTGGAGATATGTATCAGACCACAATGCTGTTCCTTTTCCAGATGAAAACTTAAAAAACAAAACAAAGTGCTTCATGATTTTTACTCATGATTCATTATATGTCTTGCTATGAATATTGTGAATGGGTAAAAATTATGCCCAATATTTAAATAGAATATATTAAAGCTCATTCATAAAAGTTATTTATTTGTTTATATTGTCATAGCTTCCTCTTTAAAGTACATCTTAATGACTTGCTTTGCTTATATACTGCAAGCTAAAATGAAATGAATGAATCAAAATCTTACATTTATGCTTGTTACATCACAAAATGAGAAGAAAAATTAGTAAACATTCAGCATATCACTGTGGATGAATGTTAACACACTACAGCTAAAGTGTATGTATGATTTATGTCTATTTCATAATTTAAATTAGCTGCTTAATGATGCATGGCTACTGTCGTCTCTTTATCTGGATCCTAGTGCAATTTAATTTCAGGCGGAATCAGAAGCATGCTTTCTTGTTTGTGTGTCTTTGGGAAAATACATCCTCGAAATTGAGGCTAAGGATGACAGGGAGTGCTGCACCTGCCCGGATCTCGTCCTTCATTTTACGGGAGACTCGGTACCACCTCCACCAAGGCGTGCTCCTGAAAGGCAGATGAAGAGGGGCAGAGTCTCCAGGACTAAAGTACGCGGGATGGCAACACCAAACACGGCACACCAGTGGGTGCAGTGTCCACAGAGGAACGGGGTGGAGGTAGTGAGGAGTGGAAGGTGTCGGTGGCCACCACAGGAAATAGCTGCCTTCCTGCCTCTTATCGTTCTTGAACGCCCGCGGTAAATCCAGGAGCAGCTGATGTACGGCACAGTCATCCTGAATCTACAATTCTCATGGGCCTCAAAGGGACCAAAACGAGAGCATCTGTGAAGTTGTGTGCTTTAGGGTATCTGGTCGTTCGGAGCTACCGAGGCATGGGCCTGTGGACCCAAAGTCGAGTTTTGTCTGCTGTGGACTGAGATACCTATTGACACCAGCTGCCAACACCCAGAGCTGGCAGCATGATCACGCAACAGGGGCAGGGTCGCTGGACATGCTCCGCTGCAGTCAGGTGGACTGGGAAGAAACATTATTTTTACGTTGAAGGGAAACCATAGCTGTTCCTCATAAGAAATATGAGAATATCCTGTCCGGTCTTGATTTCCAAAGCCTCCAGGCACGATTTATCAAGCAGAAATATTCCCAAATGTCCCGCTTGGGCACTGCCCTTACCCTTAGAGCTATCTGGAGTGACCACAGAGGCTCACTCCCTTCTGGGGTGAAGTCTGCTCATCGCCTTCCAGGAAGGGAAGGGAGCTCCAACGGCTGGAATGTGCAGACCAAAAGGACACAGTTCACTGGTGAGCTAGAGAAGGATCCCGAGTACCCAGGAGAAAGCTGTACCCTCTGAACACTATGGCCTGAATTTCCAGTGCACAGGAGGATGTGGGGCTCCCCCACAGCTGGGCTCCTACCAACAGAGCCCCCCACCCCTGGGGCTTTCCTAGAGTTGGAGCGAGGGAGCAGACACACTCAGAGACCTGGCCTGGGCAGCTCCTGACCCACTTCTTCCACCTGTGGCAACACCAGGTGGCCAGGGCTGTCCTCCCAAACTGCTGCCAGCAGCTCCCCGCTTCCCTCTGTCCCTACCCCGGACCTGACGGGCCACAGGCTGCAGAGAAGTTTTACAAGTTCGGGATGGGGGCTCTGCTGTCTCCTTCCCTTTCCGACTCCGAGTCTACTCCAGCCTGGCTGCTGAACTTCCACTCGGTTGAGCCAACACGGTCAAGCCAACTGGTCTGATTTCTGCCCGGCTTTGGGCATTAAAATCTATCTTTTCCATTTGTTTCTCTTCTATGAGGGTTAAGTTCCCTTAGTCGGAAGGAAGAAACAGGACTAATAATACTAGTGAGGCTAAAAGGTGCAAGAGTACCCTGTGCTAGAAACCTCCCTCGAGTCTGGGCAAGCCCAGGTCATGTGGTCTGGCTCTTGTCACTCCTGTTGGAGGGTAAACACCATCAAGGAGGAAGCTCCAGGGAAACAGAAAGCTTGCTCCTTCTCTGTGTCCCCTCCACAGAAACAGGATCTGCGTTGTAAGGAAAAACACAAAAAGAAGCTGAGAACTGTGTTTTACTTCTAGTCTTCTCGGGTCATGTGTTTACCTACTGCTCGTGTTAACCAAGTGAGATGCTGATGTAATTTTTTGAACATTCTATGGCCACCATGATCTCTATTACCCATCAGGCCTCTGTATTCTCTTGCTCTATTACTATATTTTCTTCCTGCCATAGACTCCATGTTTCCTGACAACCAGAACTTTCCTTTGTTATTCCACTGTTACATCCAACAGATGCTGGCCAGCTGATCTTACACAAGAAGACAGTAATCTACAGTGTGCTCCTGATGAATTAAGAGCAGAACATGACAAGAAGCTAAGACAGTTGTCACCATGTGCCAGCCACTGTTCTGAACACCCGCATATATGACCTCACTTGATCTTTATGACATCCTAGAAGGAATCGCCCCTGCTGTCCTGGTAAGGATGCCGGGACACAAAGACACTGGATCACTTGGCCAGGACCCCACGCAGCTCAGTGGAGGGCCAGGACTTACCAGGAAGGCTGACCATGGAGCCCTGGCCCCTCAGCAGAAGTCCTCTCTAAACTGCTTTATGTTCAATAGGAACATGTGATGGGTTTCGACAGATCATAAGGTTCTCCACCGAGAAACGTTCGCTCCACCTCCAGGCTGCTCACACCCTGGGAGGCTATCATTTGTGCTCTCCCTCCCCCAGTCCTTATTTCTTGCTCTCTGACAACTATCCCGGGTTGCAGCCCGGCATCTTCCAAACGATGGCTAGGACTCGCTGGGGGACTGCAAGCAGTGTCTTATGTAAATTATATCAGGACAGAGACTGGTAGACAACGGCACACGGTATTGTTGCAAGAACGTGTGGGTTTGCTTCTCTGTGTACCTGTAGTACGTCATGATGAGGATTATGTTGTTTACACTGCAGCACGGTCAAAAATTCTGAATAAAAACCACTACCCAGGTCTTACAGCAAACCCCACTGCTGTCCCACGGCAGGTGCCTGAGACATGGCTGTTAGAGAACGAACGGCTGTACCAGTGGGGATGTCCGGGTAAGCGTGTTGAGAAAACTGAGTGAGGTCTGTAAGTCAGGGTCGTTGCTAGGCTACTCACTTGATTTTTCCAGACCGGATATATTAGGAAAACCGAGGATGCTTATTTTGTGTGATGCAAAGTAAAGCAAAGCAAAATACATGCAAAGGCATAAATATGACAAGCAATGCCTTACCCCTTCGCCCAGGGTATACGTGAGGGTAGTACTCGTAATACAGATCTGGCTGGTCTAGATTTCCAAAGGGCTCAAACTCCATCTCGGCATTCTGGAAAAGGCCCAGCTTCACCAGCAGTGCCAGCCTCACAAACCAAAGCTAAAACACAAAATATAATTGAAACAATGGATTACCTACGTATGTCTAGTTCGGAAATTCCCGTTCCCCACTCCTCTGGTAGCAGAGCCTGACTTCCAGTACATTCAAACTAGGTTATCCTGTGTTTCTTAGCACATTTGCCTACTTGCACGTTTATAAAAATACTCTTGAGCTTAATAAAAATGATGTAAATGATTTTGTCTGATTCAGCTTTACCTGACAACCTTGTTGAGCAGGAGAATGGGATCCAGGGGGCAGGGGTGTGGGTGAAGGGGAGCTGGATGTGGGTCAGGGGGAGGGAGAGCAGGGCAGGCAGGGCGGGCTGAGACTGGAGCCGTGTCTGGGGTGGGCACTGAAGGCCACAGAATGGCCACGGGAGGAGGCCAAGAGAGGACAGTGAGATGCAGGTGGGCAGTCAGCTCCGAGTGGCCTGGGGGGAAGGGGGGTCTGGGTGCAGAGGCAGCGCCGGAAGTGGGAGAGGCAGACGGACATAGGCTCACGCTGACGTTACATTTGGGTTAAGAAAATCCATTTTTTTGTCCTCATGTTGTTCTTAATGGCATGAAAGGTCACGTCCCTTCCTCGTCCCCACATGATGACCAAACCATGGGAACTGTACCTGCAACGAGTCTGCCGTGTGGCTGGTGGGCAGCCCGCTCTTGCCGTAGCCTTGGCCGTGGGCGGTGAGAAGGCGCCCGCACAGGTCAACCGCTGCCCTCCAGTTTTTGCAGCTCTGTAAGACACAGCAGGACGTGTCACCAAGCACAGCCACCCCCACATGTGGCACCTGCCGCACCGGACCCAGCTCCTGCCACTGCTGGCAACAACGGCTTCTGTGGTGTGCAGGAGATGCTGTTTGACACAAGCAAATCCTAAAAACATCAGAATTTAGCAACTGACAGAACACAGGGATGAGAATTCTCTTCTAAAACTTTTCTGATTTTTATTTTCTAATTCAATTAATTAACATACAGCGTATTATTAGTTTCAGAGGCAGAGGCCAGTGACTCAACAGCCTTCTCTAACACCCGGTGTCCATGCCATCGATTCTTGTTGGCATAAGCCAACCCTTAAATCTCGAAGACTGCTTTCCTTTTTCAGCCAGAGAGCTTTATTTTGTAATTTCCATGAATTTAAAATCATAATTTAATTCTATGCTATATGCCGGATATATTCATTTGTATCTGTAAGATCTGTGTGACAATAAAATAAGCGGTTTCAAATGCTTGGCGTAATCCTACTTTACCAATATGAAAAAAAGACGGCCTATCCAGACACGCTGGCTGATCAAGTTGGACTTGCTGAGTTTACCCTTTTGCCCTGATACAACAGACGTGGCGCCACCAGGGAAATGATGTGAAAACGTTGGAGAGAACGCTGCAGCCTCCTAAGAGGCGAGAAGGAGAAGCTCCTGACCCACCTCCTCCGCAGGCCAGGCACTAACTCCTGTGGACGCTGCAGACGCACATGTTCACGGGTGTGGCCAACACATGGTGGGGACCCTGTCAGGCTCGGAGGGCAAAGTGGTGGAGGGACACACCTCCTTGCATGCACTCATCTCACGATCTAGCAAGGAAGGCAGATATGAAACATTTTTTTCAAAGATGAGTGAAATAATTTTGCGTGTACTCACAGTGTTTTTTGAACAAGAGGCCATGGGAGTGCGTGTCACCAGGCGGCCAGGCTTAACCTCAGGGAATGGAAAGCTACTGGAGCCCAGATGTGAAGGGGGAACAGAGAGGTCAAGAAGGGGGTGGACCCTCCCGGCCAAGGGGGAGCTGCCTGAGTGAGCCAGTGTGCGTGAGGGACGGCAATCAGCCAGGCGGCAGGCACACGGCCAGGAGCAGGCAGGCTGAGGATAAGGGCAGGAATGTCAGCAAGGTAGGCCTCAGGCCACAAGAGATCTGGATGCATCCTGAGAGCATGGGGAGCCATGGAAGGGCTTTGGGCAAGGGAATGGCATGGTCCTGCTTCACCCAGACCCTGGAGCACACCGCCCACCTCTCTTAGGTACTAACTCAGGCACACGCTGCTCCTGCTGGCACCCTGCGCTGCCCGGAGGACGCTAAGTAAGGGCCCAGAGAGGACAGGCGCTGCTGAGGGCCCCTGGGTGGAGACCGATCCCTGGCTTCTCCTGACAGCAGCCCTGCCGGCCCCGTGAGGGAACTCCCTGGGGCGCGGGCCAAGGCAGGTGCTCTGACTTCTGGACAATGATCCTAAGTGGAGCTACGGACATTCTTGAATTGTGAATGTGAAAAGGTGAGAGTAAAAGTTATTCGGCCCAGTTGGAACCAAATCTATGTATATATCTTAAAAAAATTTTTTTTTATTATTTGACAAAGACAGAGAAAGTGAGCATGAGAGCACAAGCAGGTGGAGCAGCAGATGCCCCGCTGAGCAGGAAGCCTGACCTGGGGCCCCTCCCAGGACCCTGGGATCATGACCTGAGCCGAAGGCAGACACTGCACTGACGGGGCCACCCAGGCGCCCCTCTATGTACATATCTAAGCAGATCCTGTATGCTGGGGCAATTAATTATTGCTCTTTTCCCAACCATCTATGTCACACGCTGGGCTTTCCCGCTGGTGGCATTATCTGAACAGGGTGCTCGGGGCAGTCTTCCCGGACTGCCAGGACTTCAGCTGAGGATGGGTAAGAGACCGAGTGAGGAGGGCAGAACAGGAGCTCCAGGGGGCAAAACGCCTAGGGTGGCGGCCTCGGGGGCACAGGGGACAGCAGAGAAAAGACCAGTGTGGTCCAGGGGATGTGGTGAGGGTGAGGGAGGTGGGGCAGGGGAGGACTGGGGCAGTCCTGTCCCTGCAGAGGCTCCAAGAGCACAGGCAACGTGTCCTGCTCATATTCTAGAAACATCAGTCCCCCATGAGGATGAAGCATGTGTCAGGAGAGCCGTCATCCAGGCCTGGAGCTGACAGTGTGCGTGTGGCCCGCAGGCTGGATCCGCCCAGCACGTGTCTGCACACAGACACAGTTGTGGGGCCGAGCTTCCTTCCCGGTCTGAGGCTGGTTCAATGCTCCCATGATGGAGGTGGGTGGTCACAGCAGAGCTAAGTAGCTGCCCGAAGACGGGGTGGCCCCAGGGCCTGAGACACTCCCATGTGCCGTCCCCCACCTGGCCAGTGCCACATCCAGGGAGACTGTGGACGTTACCTCAGTGGCTTATGACTGGTCCTCAACGAGAAAGGCCAAGAAGCAGAAACTTCTACAGCAGCTTGACAGGATATCTGATGTAATAACAAAAGCTGGGCTGGTACTTGGTACATGTCTTTCACATAATTAATTTATGAATTTTACAGAAGTTTCAGTCTGAAGACTGAACAATTAAACACCAGTCCCTTCCAGGCTAAGCCTGAAAAGCACGGCTGCAGGCCACCTGTACCAGCGTGGGGGGCAGGCACAGCAGGGGAATAAGCGGGTGATGATGTGACGATGTGACGTGGGGACCATGGAGAGCACGGTGGCAGGATGGATCCGAGAGCCTGACATGCAGCCAGATGGCGGGGGCGGGGGGGGGCCAGTCCCAGAGACAGGGAAGGCTGGAAAGGGTCAGAGCTCAGAATCTGAGATTGGATGCCAACAATGTTGAGGGGCCTTTGAGCTGTTCAAGAGGAAAAGAAAAACAAGCAGCTACTGTGTGGGTGTGACATGTGAAGAGGTGCACCCGAGGGAGTGTGTGGGTGGGATGGGAGGGGACAGCAGATCCTTGGTGGCCTTGCTGGGAGCTGGTCTGTTGGGGAGACGGGATGGGAAATCTGAATGAAACAGGTGGAAGACGAGGAGGGGACCAATGAGCCAGGTGACCCTGGGACATCTGAGTCGCCGAGCTAAGGGGAGTGGTGGAGGAGGGGGAGAGAACAGGTGCTTGTTGTGTGCCTGCTTAAACCAACGCTCCAGTGTGGGAGAAACCAAGAAAAGGCTCTCGTTGGGGAAGGCTGATGGCACACTGGAAAGAATGGATCATCGACAGCACGAGGTCCCGGGAGTCAGGGAAGGTTCCCCTCTAAGCTGGGGCGAGGGGCCACTCATCTAGCTCCAGTGGGGGGGCTTGAAAGCAGCAGAGACTGCCTAAAATGGTACTGGCAGCCAGCAGAGACGCCTGGAGGGCCGGGTGGCCCATGACGCTCAAGGTCCCCTGGAAGCAGACGACCGTGTTAGGTGTCACCGCCTGCACTAGGCCTGGACGTGGGACTTCTCCAGCAGGCTCGTGGCCGACCAGTTCATCTGCAGGGACCCGGCATCACCAGGTGAGGTAAAGGCTGGGTAAGAAGATAAGCAGGTAGACACCCTTTAGCTCCTACCACCTAGGTGACCTCAGGTAGGTGACTTTAACCATGCCTCAGCCCCCCTTGTGATGTCAGCTGGCCACCCTGGAGGTGGCAACAAGGGCACAGTGTGTCTGTGAGGAAGCTGGACCTGCTCTGGCTCCTCATGACCTCTTCTCCGGTCAGCGGTCTGTGCTCACCCCGTCACACCTGCTCATCCTCTGACCTCCAGCTAGGAACGGCTGCAAAGACGACCACCTCCGACCTGGTTCAGACCCAAGCTTCAGGATGCCTCTCTTGCCCACAGTGAGCCCTCCTATTCCTAATTCTCCAGCATAATCATTCTTGGGGCAGCCACAGCCTCCAAAGGGGATGAAATTTGCTTCTTGGATAACAATGATTATTGGCCTTCCAAATATTTATTTATTTTTAAAAAGATTTTATTTATTTATTCATCCGAGACACAGAGAGAGAGGCAGAGACACAGGCAGAGGGAGAAGCAGGCTCCCTGTGGGAAGCCCGATGCAGGACTCGATCCCAGGACCCCAGGGTCACACCCTGAGCCAAAGGCAGGTGCTCACTGCTGAGCCACCCAGGCATCCTTGGCCCTCCAAGTATTAACCCTACCCAACAAGATCTTACTCTTGAGTATTCTATTTCATTGGGGGCTGAGTGTGCGGGTGAGCAATCAGGAAACAAGGGAGAAAATGCTCCTCGGGATTGACGATGAGAAAAGGTTAAGAAGCATTCTCTGGGGGACAGTCTGCCTCGTCCATTCTGCAAACGCAGCAAGGACAGCCTGCTGGTCCACGTTCACGTTAACTGTGGTCATGTCCCATCTCCTCTAGCTGAGCTCCGGGGGCAAGGGTCTTGGCGAGGGCATACCTTTGTGTTTCTTCAGTATTGTACCTACATCTACATTCCCTCAAAAGATGGTGAAACAGTAAATTCACAGAACTACAAAAAAGTAGTAAAAAAAAAAACTCCTATGCTAATAATTAAAGAGATGTAAATTATAACTTCTTATTTTTACTAGCAGAAAAAAAAAAGGCAGTACATGCCACTGTCAGCCTAAGAAATGAGAAAAAAAAATTCTTAAAGATCTAAGTTCAGGCAGACAAGGGGACACTAATGCAAGGGTGTTTGCACACTGCTGGTAAATGTACACAGGTATAATCTTTCTGAAAAACAGTATGTATAAACAGCCTCAAAACTGCCCATACACTGACCTGCTAGTTGTCCTCTCAGCATTTATACTAAAGAGATAATCACATACGAAGAAAAGATTTCTGTACGAGCCGGTTTGTTCCAAGGTTATTTACAACAGCGTCAGATTATGCAAAAAAAATATTCGCAAAGACCTTTTAATATTGGATAAGGCTTAAGACGATGTTAAAAAGATACAAAATTATGAATGAGGTTTTGTCTAGTATATATACAAACACACATGCAA